TGGGTTATTAAACAACAAGAAAATGTGATTGGGGCAAATGTAGCATGAACCACACTCCGCTGTCGAACCGATCCATTGATTCGCATCGCAAATTGATTTATTTGTAAGTGGGAATGAAGCCTTCAACACACTCCAAGGCAGCATATTCCACTGTCTCTTACCATCAGCTCTTACCATCAGGAGGTTCTTCCTAATATTTAGGTGGAATTTCTTTTTCTGTAGTTTGACTCCAATGCTCTATGTCCTAGTTTTTGGAGCAGCAGAAAACAAGCTTGGTCTGTCCTGAAGGTGACATCCCTTCAATTATTTAAACATAGCTATTATGTTGTCTCTTAACCTTCTCTTCTCCAGGCTAAACATACCCAGCTCCCTAAGCCTCTCCTCATAAGGCATGGTTTCCAGACCCTTCACCATTTTGGTTGCCTTCCTCTGGAGACACTCCAGCTTGCCTATATCCTTCTTAAATTGTGGTGGACACAACATTCCAGGCAAGGTCTGACTTGAGTGGCACTATTACTTCCCTCGATCTAGACACTATACTCCTATTGATGCACTCTAGAATTGCATTGGCTTTCTTCGCTGCCTCATTACACTGTTGACTCATTTTCAGCCTGTGAACTAAAACTCCGAGATCCCATTTGCATGTACTGTTGTCAAGCCAGGTATCACCCAACCTATATCTGAGCCTTTCCTTTTTACTGTCCAAGTGTATTATCCTACATTTCTCCCTGCTAAAATTCATTTTATTCATTTTGGCCCTGCTTTCTAATCTGTTAAGGTCATTTTGAATTCTGATTCTGTCTTCTGGGGTATTAGTGACCCCCTCTAATTCAGTGCCATCTGCAAATTTGGTAATCATACCTTCTCTTCCATCATCTAACTTTGGTAGGGGAAAAAGACTGGAATCCTCTTGGTATTTTCCACATGCATCAGTTCCCCTACAGAGGTAGGAGGGTATTTTTGTCCACATTCAAGTTTAAGGTTGTGAAAGCAAAGCTTCCATTTATTTATATATATTATGCATGGATGGTCATGCACATTTGGGTCTGCATTTTGGTCTACATGAGATGTCTTGGTTCAGTAGTGCAATGCTTCTACATTAGGAAAATTATTTGTACATATACACAAATACAAGGCATCAGGTCCTCTCTGATCTTGGAAACTCTGGTTAATACTTGGATGGGAGACTACCAAGGAATACCAGATACTGTAGGCTTTGTTTCAGAGGAAGGCCATGGCAAATCACCTTTGAATCATCTTTCCTTAGGAAAACCCTATGAAATTTATGGCGTCGTCATATGTTGACAGGCGACTTGAAGACTCATAGATACACAGACAAAATGCAAATAAGGGATGCAAAAAGGATATTGAAGAGCATAATGTAAATAATATTGAGGCCAACCATAAAAATGATTGGAAACCCCACTCCAAAAATGTAAATGCAACAGAGAGAATGTGACTGGGCTATAGGATGACAATGAGATTAAAGGAGTACTAAAAGAGGATAAACCACTCTTCACTGCAGTAGAGAGAGAGCGAAACCTCAAGCCTGAGCTTATATTATCAGGTAGGGAGTTTGAGGAACTGAAGCAAACAGTAGTGACAGGATATGAGGCTTTATCCATCTGGCAGTTCTTAAAGGGCTCAGCTGTGATATTCTTAGAAGAATAACATTTAACATGTCCCTAAGATCATCAAGAGAAAATCAGAAGAAGACTAAGGCTTGGGGAAGGCAGATAAAGAAGGAACTAGATAAAATCCTCAAATCCACAGATATATCACTGAATAACAAAGTCGGCGTCATCTAGACAATCATATTTTGGATATCTATGTATGGATGTGAAAGCTGGAAGGGGGGAACACAGAGAAGGAGAAAAAAACTTCATTGGATATATGGCGCTGGAAAACAGATCTGGCATAATCAGCATGTTTGAGTGTTGGACCGTGACTCTGGAGACCAGGTTTTGAATCCTGGCTCAGCCATGAAACCCACTTGGTGACCTTGGGCAAGTCACATGTTCTCAGCCTCAAGAGACAGCAATGGCAAACCTCCTCAGAACAAATCTTGCCATGAAAACCCTATGATAGGTTCCCTTTAAGATCACCAAAAGTCAGAAACAACTTGAAGGCACACAACAACAACAGCAATACAGGCAAATTACAAATCAGATCATGATGGATCAAATCAGACTGTTTCCCTCAGCCACAAAAGCTCCATCTGCATTGCAGAAATAATCCAGTTTGACACCACTTTGATTGCTTTGTCTCCATGCTATGGAACTCTGGGATTTGTAGTTTTGTGAGATGTTTATCTGTCAGAGAGATCCTATGCCACAATAAACTACAGTCCCAATAACTGCATAGCATTGAGCCATGGCAGTTAAAGTGGTGTCAAACTGGATTATTTCCTCAGTGGAGATGGAGCAACTTCAGCAAGGTCACTGTTTCCCTTCTTTTCATGCTAAACAGTTCCAGCGATGGCCAGGATCCATGTCTTAAAATGACACCAACTATTTTATTCCCCTCCAGGGTTGCCACAACTCACAAAACTCACAGAAATCCTTGTGGATCCTGGATCCACTCCTGCGTAAATGAAATCAATGTCTTTTGTATTTCTGGCCCTGGTTTGGATCTTCCACCAGCTTGTTCAGCTGTCAATGCATCTTATCTCTGCAAGTGTCCAATTCAGTTAGAGGGCAATTAGTTTTGCATTACTTCACACAGGGACCTTAATCCTGATTACAAGGACAGATAACACCAGTAATAAACATGACCCAGGGCTGAAAATGATCTGTCTCTTCCCTTCTCTCTTTTTATTGGTGAAAGCTGAAGTTAGTGAAATGCGACATAAATTGTCTGATGAGAAGAGGCAGCTGCTTCTAGTTACAAACTGGAGATCTGCCATTTCGCTCTCTGTCCATTGACCGCAGTGCTTCTCACCAGGTGATGTTCACTGTGAGCAAAATTGCCCACCGGGATGTCCGTAGGAGGCAACACAAGAGCAGAGGGGGCTTGGAAGTAACACTTTAAAAACAATGCATTACTTGCAATGAATTGCCTTTCCCAATGACTAACAAGGTATCAAACTATAGCTGAGATTTTGCATTGGGAAGCGTATTGCAAAGTAATGCCCAGGCAGAACTATCACCTTTTTAATATTGTAATAGTTTAATACAATTTTAATTGTCAATTTTGTAGGTTTGTAATTGTACTCTGTTTTTTAGACTGTAAGTTGCTTTGGGTTCCAGCCTTGGGAGGAAAGCAGCATAGGAATAAATATACAACAACAACAACAACAACAACAACAACAACCTTCCTCCACTCCTGTAGACCTCCAGATGTCTTTAAGCTGCTGCCACACTGCAGAATTAATGCAGTTTGGCACCACTTTAACTGCCACGGCTCAATGCTATTGGATCCTGGGATTTGTAGTTTGTTGTGGCACCAGAGCTCTCTGACAAAGAGGGCTAAATAGCTCACAAAACTACAAATCCTAGAATTCCATAGCATTGAGCCAAGGCAGTTAAAGCGGCATCAAACTGCCTTAATTTTACAGTGTAGGTGCAATCTATGTATATGGTATAGGGACATAGCCAGATGACACTTCTCCAATGGCACTGGCTGTCCAGCAGCCACAAAATGTTTTTTTTGGGTGTGTGTGTGTGTGGGTGCTCACAGTGAAACGGTGAATCCTGCAAGGGTCTGGGTCATTGCTTAGAGAAGTAGTGAATTCCTCCTTTTGCAATGACTGAAAAACCTCGTAGGTATCAAGAACAGGATGCCAGCCAAAATTACATCACTATTTTAACTGATGGTAAAGTGACAATCAAGTGACAATCCTACTACCATGCAGTTGTACCTTTGTCATTGAATTAATGCATTAATATGAAGAACGGATCTAATAATGCATTATTTGAACCTGCATCTGTACACTGCACAGAATATGATTATCCACTCCCTTTGGTACTTCCTGAATGGCCCCAAATGTTTTTGCCACAATCCATCCATGCATCAGTCATCAATCAGTCTCATCCAAATACATATTTATTATGCATTTTCACATACATAAATATGTGTATTTTTGTAAACAATTAAAACTTTGGCTAAGATCCTGTATCCTCATATGTAGCTACAGTGGTGGACTTCCATCATCTTAACTACTTGTGCCAATGAATGTGTGTGTGCCTTCAAGTCTACTGTCAACTTATGGTGACCATATTAAATTCATAGGATTTTCTTAGTCAAGGAATACTCAGAGGTGGTTCTGCCAACTCCTTCCTTTGAAACACAGTATTTGGCATTAGATATTAGTTGGTGATCTTCTATACAAATACTAACCTGGGATGATCCTACGTAGCTTCCAAGATCAGACCAGATCTGGTGCCTCTGGGGTATTTAGGCTACACTAGGGATTTTATTAGTACTGATTCAACCTGGTATCAAAATCCCACTGGTCCAGAATTGAAATTTGGCACAAATTAAGGCCATACATGTTCTGGAAAAAAGCCACACTTGGGGTACAGTGTGTATATAAGTGTGTGTGCATGAACATGGACATGAGGGGGAGAGAGAGAACTGCAAAGGCTTTAGTATTGGAATAAGATGAAGGAGGAGGAATAATTCCTTTGCGAGAAAGCTAACCATTGCTCTTTGATTACAACATATAAAAATGAATAGCGAATATTTTCTTTTCACTCTTGCCCTGTCTACTAATGCATATATAGTCTTAGGTTTAGTCAAGCACTTCTGGTGTGATCTGGGCATTTCTGATGAGCATCCAGAACACCTGTTGTGCTCCAACACATCCTAGCTGGTGTCTTGTTTGTTGTTGGTGTTGTGTGCCTTCAAGTTGTTTTGGACTTATAGTGACCCTAGGGCAACCCTATCATGGAATTTTATTGACAAGATTGCCATGACAAGATTGCCAACAGGAGGCTTGCCATTGCCATCCCTGGAGGCTGAGAGAGTATAACGGTCCCAAAGTCACGCAGTGGGTTTCATGGCCAAGCTGGGGATCGAACCTTGGTCACCAGGGTCATAGCTCAGTGCTCAAACCACTATGTCACACTGGCTTACTAAGTATTTTTCTTCTTTTTAATTCCCTATCCAAGGCCTAGGGCTATACCTTTATAATGCCAACCCCTTGGTCACAAAGATCTGTAAACTTTCAAGATTATTATCCAGTGTCTCCATCAGATAAGAGACAAGATCCTACATCAAGTAGACACAGTGTCAGCACCCCATCTGCACAGTTCTGTATCCTTCTACTGTCCCAGCAAGTGTCAACCACTTACTTATGGGAAAAGGAGGGAGAGAGATGCAATTCAGTAGCACAAAAAGCAACTGGTCTCAGCTCAAAGGGGAAAGAAAGATATTTATGCTCACAGAGGAAGTGAACCCTTCTTTTCCTTCCCTTTGGAGCCCAAACCAGCTGTACTTTTATTATCTGAAATTTCTCCTCCTTCCCTTGTCCAGCAGCAGTTTCTCCTAGGTCTTTACAGCTCTTTAGGAGTGAAGGATTTGCATGGGGAGGCAAAGGGTAAGAAAATGTCTTCCTGTACTCCATGCAAAAAAGAGAAATATGCATGTAAAAGTTATGGTTACAAACATGTATGTGTTTAAGATTATGTCATCCAAGATGTAAAAAGAACACCATGGTTTGTGTGTGTAGTGTGTGCATGCATGCATGGCAGGAATGGAAGTCTGGGCTGATACTGAAATCCTAAAGTCTGCATGGTAAGGATTCAGGCTGCATCCACATAGCAGAAATAATCCAGTTTGACACCACTTTAATTGCCATGGCCTAATGCTATGGAATTTTGGGAACTGTAGTTTTGTGAGACATTTAGCATTCTCTGTCAGAGAGGTCTGATGTCACAACAAACTACAGTTCCCAAAATTCCACAGCATTGAGCCCTGACAGTAAAAGCAGTGTCAAACTGGATTATTTCTGCAATGTGGATGCAGCCTAAGCCAAAATGGGAAATTAGTGAATTGAAGATGTTCAGGTTAGACCTGACCAAGCAAGGCAATAGCCTCAAGTAGAAATGAGCACTGTCCTTTGGACAGATGAGGTGAAGAAACAAACAAATCTGGATTGATTCCCCTGCCATTTTTGGAAAATATAAAATCCAACTCTTATTCAGAACTGTTTCTTACCCTCAGGCGAAACACACAAGTTCCCTGGTTGGTGGGAAACAGATGGGAGCCATATAGTTTTTATATTAACAAAGCTGGAGATAATTTTGGCCAGCGTCTTGGGGAATGAAAGTCAATAGAAGCCAAATTGGGTAGCAGGTTCTTTATTACTACAGTATAACAGAAAGTACGAAGTTCCCAGGAGTCTGAGATCCAAAGACTCTATGAAGAAACGGGGGGAGAAAAGTCATGAAGACCTTCAGGAGGAAGGGTAAACAAAACTCATACACTTTCTCTAAGTGAGACTTTCTAGCTATAGAGCAAAGGTGTGAGCTACGGGAGGATGAAAATAAGTGTGTTGCCCCCGCATAAAAAAATTCTCTCCCTCTAATGAAATGTTCCTTTGGTCTCCAAATTTCCAGCATTCCGGTGACTTAAAAAATTCATCTGAGCATTTAGGAAACCGGTTTGATTCCACAAAGCAAGGAGGTTGGCTAATTTACCAAGGGAATATGAACACAGAGAATAAAAGAGCCTTAAGTGTGAATTCAAAGACATAGCCCTGTACATCTGGAAAAATCAGTATGCAAAGGGATCTTGCAGCACCTTTGAGACTAACTGAAAGAGAGAAGTTGGTAGCATGAGCTTTCATAGACTTGAGCCTACTACCTCAGATGCATTTGGTGGGCTCAAGTCTACAAAAGCTCATGCTATCAACTTCTCTCTTTCAGTTAGTCTCAAAGGTGCTGCAAGATCCCTTTGCATATTCAGTGTGAACGATTTTCAGTGGTCTCACTCTATGCAAAATTAGAAATTTGAGGAATGAAGCAACATTTCATTTGATGGGGTAGAATTCTTAGTTGATCCCTCTCTAACTACACCCCTGACCAGTTTGTGAAGTGGAGAGAATGATACTGGCTTGGGAAGAGCTGGGTAAGAAAACAACAACAGCAACATCCTCCAGGGCATCTGGACATTATCACAAAGCACTCACATGTAGTTGGGGTAGAAAACTGTATGGGAATGGGGGTCAGTTATTTGCTCTCAGCCTTCTCCCCTGTGGGTTGAACCATCCCATACCCCAGTATTTCAATTTTCCTCTGCAGTCCCTCTCAAAATGGTGTCAGGAAGGGATGCCACCATTTTGAGAAGGACTGCAGAGGAAAACAGAGTGTTTAGGGGGGTAGTATGTAGTTCTGAGCTTTCTGTGCAGATGGGCTAAGTGTATTTTCACATACTTTCATACCTTTGGAGAGTTCTGCATGATTTGTAGGCAAACATTGCCCCAAATTCATGTCTATGCTTACATTTTTATGAGGGTTGGGTGTTCTTTGAGAGACTAGTGGACAGTTTCATGGGCCACATGTCACCCATGAGCTATCCCAGTGTTTCCTAAACTTTGGTTCTCTGGATGTTTTGGACTTCAACCCCCAGAAGCCCTAGCCAGTTTGGCCAACAAACAGGAATTCTAGGAGTTGAAGTCCAAAAGGAGGACCAAAGTTTGGGAACCACTGGTGTGCTATGTCCACATCTGGCTATGGTATCATAGCTAGATGCATTGAGGTTCTTCCCTACCCTCCCTAGCCAAGCAATATACACTAGGGCTAAGGAAATGTGGAGTTACATGGATGGGGGAGTTATTGCATGTGGGAGGTAGCAAACACCTTCCACCGCAAAGACCATAAAAAGACATACAGAGGCGTAAGATGGACTTACACCTCTGTATGTCACCAATAGGATGCCTTCCACTTCTATTGATTTGCGATTTCATTATTTAACTTATTATTTAATTCTCTGAATTAGCCTTCTCTGGCCTTTAAAATCTGCTGCTTTCCAACATGAGAAGTCTCCAGATATTAAACCCATGCTCTTTCCCCCACTGGCAAGGTTATTTCCATTTTGGGCAGAAGCAAGAATGAAAATAGGCCATGGTAAATCACATTTCCAGTGATGAGATTTTCTAACAAAGACACACAGCCTCTTTAGTTTTAACAGGTCCACCCATGGCTCAAAACACGCTTCCAAAAAAAATCAATACCAACGTACTGTTTTAATGGTAACCTTAAATATTTAATGGCATTTTTTGCTTGAAGGAATTGGTACATTTGTGTGATGGATATGCCTATTATTGCATGAATCCTATTAGTAGTCCCAGCTAGAGTAGATCCATTATATCAACTGTTGTATCATAAATAAACAGAGGTAAGTTGTGTGGATTCAGTCGGTCTAGTTTACTTGCAACCGGCTGCATCTGTACTGCAGAAATAATGCAGTTTGACACCACTTCAACTGCCATGGCTCAATGCTATGGCATTCTGGGATTTACAGTTTTGTGAGACATTTAACATTCTCTTTCAGAGAGCTCTGGGGCCATGACAAACTCAAAATCCCAGGATTCCATGGGACAGGGCCATGACAGTTAAAGCAGTATCAAAATGCATTAATTCTACAGTGTGGCAGCAGCCTTTAACTTCCAGGGATCCATCTTATGGAAACTTGGGACAGAATCCTGTTCTATGGTGAGACATGTAATCTGGTCTCCCCTTATATTTGAATAAATGAAACTGGAATTCATGGGGATGTGGTACTCTTTCCCTGTACTACAGTTCCCAAGGGGCCCTGAGAAGAGGTGTGAAGATAAAGGAACACACTCTCTCAGCTTTAGGGGAAGGTAATGGCAAAACCCCTTTGACAAATCTTGCTACCAAAACCATGTGTTAGGTTTGCCTTAGGGTTGCCATGAGTTGGAAATGACTTAAGGGACACAACAACAATAAATTTGGGGAACTGTGGTTCAGGAAAGGGCACCACACTTCCCTGAAACGTAGTTTCATATATTTATTTGCAATAAATGTCACCACTATAACTGCCTTTCATTTCTGTATCTTGTGCTATCATTCAGCCTGCCTCTTGAGGGAATATATCACTTTTTAATTAACATTTCACATATGAAAACCATGACAAACAACATCAGATTGTGATCAAGATGGCAAAAGCTATCAGTGAAGGAGAACAGACATGCTTGGAGAGGCTGCAGCAGGTTGCTTTTTGCCTGAGCCTGTTGGGAAGGGAAAGAATCACCTTTTGCTCTCCCACTGTTTAGATAATATAGCACTAACTATTTTTGTATGTTGATTTCAGTCTGCAGCAATGATAGTAAGCTGAGGACAAAGAGGGAAAAAGGTAGGAAGAGTATTCTAGAGCTTTCTGGCAGAGAACCCCAAGTTCCTCACTAAACTGCAAATCCCAGGATTCTTGAAGACAGCCATAAGAATTAACATCATTTCCAACTACTCTATGATATGACATAGCTGTTCTTGTTGTGTGCCTTCTAGTCGTTTCCAACTTCCAAATGGAGAGCCTATCATTGGCTTTTCTTGGCAACATTTGTTTAGTGGAAGTTTGCCATTGCTTTCCCTTGAGGCTGAGAGCATGTGACTTGCCTGAGGCCACCCACTGGGTTTCATGGTTGAGCTGGGAATCGAACCCTGGTCTCTAGAGCCATAGTCCAGTGCTCAAGCCACTATGCCACACTGGTTCTCGAAGATGTAACAAGTGTCCTTAAATTTTGCTCCTCCTACAAGAGTTAATATTAGAATGCTAATGTCCATGAGGGGAAAGAAACCAGGACATTTTAAAAACAGCAGAGAAAGTGGGACAGCAGAGGATTAATCAGGACTATCCCTGCCAATTCAGGACAGATGGACGGTATGATATTGGAGTTTAGAGCTGAAAAGATGGGACAATAATGTTCTCAAACCAGACAAGAGATAAGGCTTCAGTTTTTCGTGAGATGCTGAGAAAGAATCATTGGTATTCGGAGAAACAAATTGGTTCCCATCTCAAGAGGCCATTTCCCCCCTCCTCTTTCTTATAAAACAGGCTATAGCTGAAGAGCCCATGTACAGAAGAAAGATGCTTCCCACTCAGTTGAACAGCCTGTTCCATCTGCTCCCAACATTGAATAAATATTGCTGCACCAAGCCACGTTTCTGGAGCTGTCACAAAGACAAAGCTCTCCCCCTCAGCTGACAAACATGTTCACTGCCTTCAAAGGTCAATAGCGATGCAGCCTTCCCTTGGCTGGTTCTCAGAAGGAAGGAGGTGGCACAAGTGAAAAGCTATCCGAAGCCAACGGATGTGGTATATGTGAATGTGGCACTGAAATGAAACTGCACGCAGGAGGCAAGGCATCCAGGTGGAGTCTGTGATGAAGCCACAGCCAAGGACAACACATGCCAGCTGAGCATGAGAAATGGAAAGCTGGAACGCCTGCAGAGCCCAGGAATCAGAAACCGTATTGAGGAAAGGATGGAAAAATAGAAAGAAAGGGTCCTTTGATTTCTGCAACACAAGAAGAGTCTTTTCAAGACATGGAGGGTGGAAGGTATGAGAACCAAGGAGAGGGGAGCAGGGGAAAACAGTAGAAGTGTTTCTTAGAGTTCTGGTTGGAGGATCATGACTCAAGTTTCATCTGGAGAACAATCACAGACAAGTTACTTTGGGGGACTACAACTCACAGAATCCGACAGTGACCAAACTGGCTGGGTGATTCTGTGAGCTGCAGTCCCCCCAAATAACTTTTCTCAAGCTCTGGGTCATATGCCTGAGAGCAGAGGCTAGAGAAGACGCAACCTGAATTGGAGGAGACGGTTAAGTAGACCAGCAAATTCCAGTCAACAGTATAGGTACATCCAGTCTGACCAATTCAGAATGATGAATGGACAGTT